AGATTAGTTCAGGATTTAAAAAATAAATCTGTTTATTAATTATGACGATAAGTAAAATAAAAGTTCAGGTTGAATTAGTCCCTAACGTCAGAGATGATTGTTGATCTGATGGACCAGAATCATAAAGTGCAGCGTGGTCTGCAGGAGGTCCTGGTCTGCAGGAGGTCCTGGTCTGCAGGAGGTCCTGGTCTGCAGGAGGTCCTGGTCTGCAGGAGGTCCTGGTCTGCAGGAGGTCCTGGTCTCTGGGCCGTGAATTCGGCAGGACTCTCAGAGTTTGGACCTGGGAGTGTGTTCCAGGACTCTCCTCATGTCCAGCAGCGCCTCCTCCAGGGCCTGGGCCAGCTGGGAGGCGTCGGTGTGTGAGCAGGAGTTGAAGGAGGACACGGCGAAGTTGATGTGGTCCTCCATGGGGTTGTAGCAGACACCGAACCCGTCAGGAACCACCGGACCGAAACACATCACGCAGTCCGTCTTAGACGGGACCTGAGAGGGGAAGACAAGTTCAGTTTATTGTGGCGGGGCTCTCTGACCGCTCCTCCACTTCCTGTCCTACCTGACTGGTGGACAGGTGGAAGTGTAACGCCTTGGAGTGGGCGGGGTCTGTGAAGAGGGCGGGAACAGACAGTTTCTCCTCCATGGCCTCCATCTTCAGGCCCAGCAGGTGTCTGTCGATGGCCTGCCCACTGATGGCCTGAAACACCAACAGAACCTGGGCTCAGCCGGGTCAGCAGAACCAACCTTCACATCTTTATTCTGAAGAATCCTTTGATGTTAGTAAAATATCTTATGAGCAGCAGAGAGGACAGAAAAAACTACATAATTAAACCAGAGAAGAAGAACTCACCATGTTGGTGTACCACCTGTGTGCGTTCACAGCTTTCTGCATTAAATCCACCTTCTCTGAGTTCTGAGCAGAACAGAAACAAACTTTAATCTCAGAGTTTCAGATCAAAAACATCTAATCTGAGCCTGGTTCTGGTTCTGGACCTGTTTGCTGGGATCATCGAAGGCCTTGACGAAGGACGCCGAGGCGTTGGAGGCGGATCGGATGGTGTCRGTCCGACCCAGTCTGAACATCCTCAGGGAGGCGCTCTCATACGTGGCGCAGCAGCGCCCGTACTTCCTGCAGACAGAGTCCAGCTTTAGGTCCTGCAGTTCTGACTGTGAGCAGCAGGTGGAGCCACACCACCTGTCAGACTGGACACCAGGTAAACCTGCAGRCTCACCTGTAGTAGGCCAGCTGCAGGGCCATCTGGATGAAAGCATCTGGACTCATCTTGAAGGTTTTGGGGACATTTTTTCCAAAATGTTGAAAGACTTTGACCTTCATGTCCAGATCCTGGACCAGCCTGAGGAGGAGGACATCAGGAGGGTCAGAGTCAGGCCCAAGGACCTGCAGCAGGTGTTCCAACCAGCTGCTCTCACCTGTCCATGCTGCGTTCAGCCTCCTGCAGGTCCTCCTGGGTCTCAGGTGAGACCTTGAAGTTCAGTTTGTGGGGTGGAGGCAGAGACTCAGACGGACCGGACTCAGATGGACCGGACTCAGACTTCCTGGTTCCACAAACAAACAAACAAACAAACAAACAAGCTTTCATCACTTTTACAACATCAGAAACAATTGTGTCAGTGCTGAGTCAGCATTTCTTTATAACTGAGGCTATAGCTAGTGCTTAGCTACTTTTACCTGGTCTTTTGCTGTTTTTTAAGCTTTTAGCTAATGTTTTGCTAATGACGACCTCTGAAATGAGAAAAGAATAAGCTAATGTTTTGCTGCTTTTAGTCTGAAGCTAGTTTTTGTTTTAATTTGCTTTTAGCCACCATTTTCTACTTTTAKCTTTGATTTAACAATTGGCTACTTTTAGCTAGCTTTTTGTAGTCTTAAGATGGTCTGTTGAAACTTTTAGTTTCTTTTAGATTTTAGCTAGTGTTTAGCTTCTTTTAGATTTAGCAAGCATAAATTTTTAGCTTGTTTTACTTCTTTAAGCTAGTGTTTAGCTTTTAGATTTTAGCTAGTGTTGAGCTACTTTTAGCTTGAACACCTCATTTCAGCATCTTTTAGTTATTCTATAGGTTCAGCTTCATGTTTTGCTTCGACCAGCAGCTGAAATGCTCATCAAGCTGCAGATTTTCAGGAAACTAATCTGAGCGATCAGAAGGTTTCCTTACGTGAACTCCACCACGTGGTCGATCAACGCCACGATGGGCGGGCCCTCAGCCGGAGCGTGCTCGTAGTTAGCCCCACATGTTCCGTCTTCACCGACAATAAACTGAAGAGGAGAACATTAATGTGATCAACGAGAACCCGACTCGTTCATCAGAACACGTCTGACAGACGACTCGTTCATCAGAACCTGTCTCAAACGTCACCTGCAGCGTTTTGTCGAACCAGCGGTTCCCGCTGTTCCACCGGCTGCCTCCTCCATGTAACATCTGCACGGCAGCGCGGCTGTGGTACGACTCCTCGGACCCCTGAGGCCCGGGTCCATCCAGACACAAGGTGAAGATGCTCCTCTGGATGGTTAGGACGGAGTCTTTGTTCGTCTCATCTGGACACAGACAGAAACACTGAACAGCTGCAGACACGTCTGACTGACATCTGTGGAACAGGAAATACAGTTCTGCTTTTAATACTGACTGTAGAGAAAAAACAACAACTTTGATTCAGTTTAAACCAGATCAACAAGAGAAAAACATTCTTACATTCTGAAGTAGCAAAACGCTAGTTGAATGTAGCACATGGCTAGTTGAATGTAGCACATGGCTAGTTGAATGTAGCACATGGCTAGTTGAATGTAGCACATGGCTAGTTGAATGTAGCACATGGCTAGTTGAATGTAGCACATGGCTAGTTGAATGTAGCACATGGCTAGTTGAATGTAGCACATGGCTAGTTGAATGTAGCACATGGCTAGTTGAATGTAGCACATGGCTAGTTGAATGTAGCACATGGCTAGTTGAATGTAGCACATGGCTAGTTGAAT